TGTGCTGCTGAAACTCCTTAGTGAAGACACTACTGTGCTGATGGGAAAGCTTCTCCCATCAGCATAGTTAATCCACCTACCGAAAAGGCAAGAAGCTCTCTCATCCATGCAGCGCTGTCTACACAGGGGATTAGGTTGGCATAACTACATTGCTCATGGGGGTGTGGATTTTTCACACTTACGAGTGATGTTGTTATATTGATATAGCTCTGTAGTGTAGACCTGGCCTAAGCATTAGCTGAAGAAAGCAGTGGAGAGCAGGGAGCTCTCTGCTGGGCTGGGCTCACTGCACTAAAGCATGACAGACCCGTATTCTGTGTCAGGGACTGGGAAGGGACTAGCATGCTCAGTGCATGTTGAGCTCATACTGAGGTGAAGAAGAGTTTAGAATAGGCATGCTTGGTGCATGCTACAGGGGCATAATGCTGAGACGGTGGGAGGTGAGAATAAGTGAACAGATACATAGGCCCAGATCCTCAAAGGTATTTAGGCTCCTCGCTTCTATGGTGTTAGGTGCCTAAATGTTTTCTGAGATCTGGTCACTGGCACTGAGATCCAGGGAGTGAAGCACCCACAGAGATGAATGGGGCAGGCTCCTCTCTAACAGCTGGGCAGGACAAGGGGGGCAGTTCAAGGAGAGGGGTAGGTGGAGGAAAGGGGGGATCCAGGCCAGTGCCACTGTCTGTGGCACCTAGGGGCAGCTCCTCTGCTTCCCTCCCCCATGCCTGGAACTCACAGCCTGGGACATGGCCCTTCCCAGAGTCCAGTGGGGCGGGGATCACACCAACCCTGCAACCATCCCTGAAGGAGCACATCCACTCAGCCTGGGGTAGCAGAATGAGCAATGGGACAGCCAGAGCCTGGGGGGGGGGGGGGGGCAGAGGGTTCAAGGGAGGGGCAGGCATCCAGAGCACTGCCAGATTGGGCACAACAGCAGCAACTCGGGAAAAGCATCAACCTGGAGTGACACTTCTTCAGCATCTCCCCGGTTGTGCCTGGACCGATGCTGCTTCCCAGCCTGCAGCTAGAGCCTATGTGTCCCCCTCGCCCCCAAAGGATGGCTGTGGTGGGGCAAGGGGACAGAACAACACAAGCCCAGACAATATAGCTCAGTGACTGTAACTCTAAAGTAGGCAGAAGCAAGGATCCTGGAACTGCTGAGAAGTTTCTCCAGTACTGCCAACCCCAAAAGTTCAAAAATCATGAGGTTATGTAAAAATAACAGCTTTGGAGTTCTCTTTATTTGCCTTCCACTTTTTGCGCTTTAGGGTGCACTGGGGTCATATTTGGAAGCGTTCTCCACAGCCACGAGGGCTAGAAACATACTTTTTCTTTAAGACTGAAGGCTGAAATTGTCACATATCCACTTGACTCCAGGAGCTGGGGCTTTAAGGAAAACAATAAGTAACATGAGACTCATGACAAAAATCATGAGTTGGCAACACTGTGAATTCTATCTTATTCTTGTGGTAGCTGAAGTTCTCCCCTTCCGAACTGTATTTACATTGTCTTCATGTCTCTGTGTGTTACCTTCAGGAAGTAGCATGGTATTTCCCTGGATACAGGGTTAAGGAGCTGGGATCCCCTGACAGCTAGTTCCCACTGCCTCTCCCTCTCTCTGGGTGAAACCCACCCACAGCAAATAAAATACCCCTATGAGAGCATGGAGGAGGGATGTACAGCATGACCATGCAGTGCAGCCACTTCCCTGGGCACCATGGCAGGAATCTCCAGTGAGCAAGTGATGCAGAGGGACTGCATCCAGCACTTCCACCCAGTGGCCCTGCTAGCAGTGACTGCCAATCAAGGGGGTGGGCTGGAAGCCCATGCCCTTGCCCTGGGATGTGGGGTGGATTTCACCTCCCCGCAGAGCCATCCCTAGGGTACAGTTAATTGGGGTGACTGCCCCAGGCCCTGCTCTTTGTGGGGAGGTGGGTGGTGAGGTGAGGCAGGAAAGCGTGAGGAGGAGCCGCCCTACCAACCTCCCCCTCCCTCCCAGCACTTACTGCCGATCAGCTGTTTCGCGGTGGCACTGGGGTGGAGGGGAGAGGATCGAGGGGAGAGGATCAAGGGGGAGGGGCAGGGTGGGGGCAGGAAGAGGCGGGGTGGGGGTGGGTCCTTGGGGGAAGGGGTGGAGTGGGAGCCCCAGCAGATAGAAATTAAGCATCTATGTCCCAGGCCCCACACACCCCTAGGGATGGCCCTGCCTCCCCCACCCCAATGTGCTGCACCATCACAGAGCCCAGTGATTTGAGATCCACAGTGAGACTTTCAGTCTCTTTCCCCTGGGATTAACCTCCACTTCTGCCCCTCAGAAAAAGGTGATTAACACCTCCACACCCTATAGGGAGATTGGGAGGATGAAGGGGCAGCCTTACAAACCTATGAATCTGGCAGGAAGGTGCCTGGCTCCCATTGACATTCACAGTCTCTCAGGAACTGATTGGTGTTTCCATAGTGCTGAGAAGATTTAAGTTGCTACAAGCTAGGAACACAGAGAGAGCTGGAGCAGCAGTGGCTGTCTGGAAAAAAGGTCTGAACTATAATGTTACTAGGGGAGTCTGTGTTTATTTTCCTTCTGTCAGTCCTGGTACATTTCACAGCCCAATTCACAGTGATGGGGCCTGGTGCTGTGTTTGTGAGTAAAATTTTCCTGTGAGCACATAGCTAGTAACAGATAAGATTTATATCTCATGTGGTTAGCAAACAGGTAGAAGCTGAGATCAAAGAAGAATCTTTAGAGTTAAAGCACCAAAAATGTGGATCACCTGGTTAATTCTAATGGGACATGAGTGCCATCACTATCTATACATTGTTTATAGAGTGGATCACTGGACCTCTAGGCCAACACACGCTGTGTGCACAATAGGCTCTACCATGACACTACCAGGCCTTCATTCTCCTGCTCATGAAAGACGTTCTGATCAGAGCAGGGCAGAAAGAAGGAGCGAGGTCGCCTTAAATTTTAACCTTGAACCATTTATTTATATTTTGCCAGGCCAAAATTGATACCTGTGAAATATTGCAAAGGTTTTTCTATCCAGAGCAACATTCAGGAATAATAAATAAATGTGTGTTACACCTGGACTATATAAAACTTTTTAAATGGTCAAGACAGGTCAAAGGCTTGATGGTTGCTAGTGTTTTGGGGAAGGGTTCCTGAAATCTTCTGATTGCTCTGACTCCAATTGTCAAAACTAAAGCCACTACTTATGCATGATCCTATCAGCATGTCCACATGAGGGTTTAAAGCACTGTAACTTAAGTTTCTTAGCTTCACGCTTTTAGTGTCACACCATGTAGAGAAGTCCTTAGTAAATAAAGGGAAAGGGTATAAGGGAAATGGGGGAGTCTGTTAATTCCTTTAGTTTAAAATACTTTAAGTGGCTTTACATGACACGCACAAAAATGGGGGGCTGCAGCCAGCCAGATGCAAATAACTCTCTGTGTTAGCCACACAGGGAGTATCAAAGTTGTCAAGACACGAACAATAATGGTGCATTTAACATCTGAGTCAGCTTTATAGTCTGGGTCCTCAATGCTGATAAAATGTGTGTTTTTACTACATAAGTAAACAGAATGAAGAATATCACTGAAGTGTGTCATAATAAAATAAATAGTACACATAAAAGGCTATGGAATTAAAATATGCAATTAGAAGTATAAACAATCCAGTTGAAAAAACTTCATTTATATGTGCAACCAATGAAGCAATAGAAGAGTTAAGTGTGTACTTCAGTGTTTGCAGGATGGGGAGATTAAGAATTTTTAACCCATTTTCAGTTAGAAAGGGTTTGGCACATGTTACTGGAGTCCAAAACTGTATTGACATGTACAACCATTTTAGATAGATGGATTCTTTGGCAGAGATAACAGCAGAAGTATGAAAGTAGTGCCCTCTAAAGGCCCAGAAACAAAAAAGCGCAAACAAGAACACATAATGTATTTAGTAGTTGGTGGGGCGGTGGGGGGGTTGTTTTGTTTTTAAATTTCATAACTGTGGATGTTAATCTATCTTGGGGGCTGTATATCTATGTAGCAAAACTTTCAGTAGACATATTTGCCTTTGAGAAAGATTTCCTACAGTATAGTCCAGTGCCCTTAGGGCAAGATTTTTAAAGGTATTTAGGTGACTAGTGGGATTTTTAAAAGCATCTAAGTACATTCGGCCTTTAAAAATCTGGCCTAGGTGAATATTTGGGAATCAAGTTCTATTCACAAGTAGCAATGTGTGAAACAGCACTAGTGTGTGGGATCAAGAGGCAAAATAACAAGGCAATCCCCATTGGTGGTTTAAACGAAACATGCAAAGTTTTGACACCATTACAGGTGATCTGTCATCCTTGATGTCAGATAAACTCAAAGAATGAACTTGTATAAATATAAAAAAATTAGAACTGAAAATGAATGTTACAGTGCAAACCAGGAAGTGCTGTAAACTGAGATGTGATTGCTGAAATTACTAGCAACATATTTTCAATGATTATTTGCTGTTGTCATTTGGCTTGTGGGTGTGTTCTCTCCAGCTCTACAGAGGTAACTGACCCAGCAGACCTCGATGGTACTACCCAGAGAGACCATAGACTCGGTTCAGTGGCAAAGGTGCTCAGCCAGGTTTCTTGGCAACGACGCTGTCCCCAGAGTCTCAGGGGTCGACACTGAGATTGCTTAATCACGGCAAACTGCAAAGATTGGAGTAGACAATCCCCCAAACAGGTGGTTATTCTAATACCTAAGGTCACCAAGCCAACAACAAAACAACTTCTACAATACCTTACTGGTTACCCAGAAATACAGCTCCCTTAAAGCAACCCAGCCTTGGGCTCCTACCCAGACACCCAAGTTAAACACGATGAGGATTACTGAAAATCTTGTTCATCATATAAAAAGTTCTACCAATCTCAAAGGATTGGACACATCACCCACCAGGATAATGAATATTTCAGATCTTACCCAAATACACACTTACAGCCAATTCTTATTATCTAAACTAAAATTTATTAAAAAAAAAAAAAAAAAGAGTGTATAGGTTAAAAGATCACTATATATGCAGATATGAATAGAGTTCTAAAGTCAGTTTCATAGTAGAGATGGTAAGCTTTAGAGTTGCAAAAAGTTATTTTCAGAATTAGTTCCATAGGTTATAGTCCAATGTCAGGATGATCCAGACTGGAGCTGGATACCTCAGGCTTGCGAGTCAAACTTCCCCTGACAAAGCTTAAGCAGATCTGAGATAACAGGATCAGGGCCCAAGAGTTCCTTTTACAGTTCTCTGACAGCAGGTATTCCTTGGGTGAAGCATTGTGGCTTTGAAGTAAAACCTCCTATTTTCTATGTATACACAGGTAACTAGTTGCATTCATCAGCATAAGGTAATTAATTATCCATTAAGCAGTTCATAGACAGATTACTACACATTTCAAAGAGAAATATAGATAACGATATTGTTACACCCAAGCTTTATCAAAATGTTAAAATTCCCTTTTGATCTCTGAATCAATAGAACATAGCGACAGATAGGTTACATTGTTAACCTCTATCAAGATATAGGTGAACACAGACAAATACAATCACTATCTTCTTCTCATTCTCTAACAATAGAAGTCTAAATTTCAAAACTCTAGTTTATCTAACATGGAATGGCCCTAAGGACCATTTACATACTTTTTAATATGTCTCTAAAAGTTGGATTTGGGTCATGTAGCCTGCTAGCTGACGAACCCTTTCTCACTCAGTGTCACACGAGCGCCCCACAGATTCTACAGGTACACGATCACATGTATGCCCAATACACTGGACCAGGCCAGTCAGCAGCAGGACTTTCTGCTGCCCCCTAGGCCGGACAAAGGCTTACAGTGAGGTACCCCAACATTTATAGACTAAGACACATAATCTGGGATAAACAATTTATGTACCACCTTATGTGGTTCATGAGATGTTTACCTCACCTTTTTCCTTATATCTTGAACAAAACATCCCTATCCATTGTTTGTCAAACTAACCCATCTGTACTAGCTGGGATATATTTACGTAAATCTCTAGTGCCTAGTACACTAGCCACAACTTTGTCAAGTTAATGTACTGGGCAGCGAACTTGTGAGCATCTGCTTTGATACATGGCCTACTTTGGTTCACTGCCTCTGGTTCAGGCCTCAGATCTTGCACCAGGCCCAGTGCCACAAGCTCTCTCTACTATATTTGCTATTACAAACATGCCCAATGACAACCATCTCACAATGTTACCAAAGGTAAATGATGAAAAGCTATGAGTAATAAAAATAACATTTAAAAAAGTAGATAATTGAAAGGCAAAAAACTACATTTATAGATGACAATCAGAACAGCAGCTAAGATGAATTTGTGAACTGCTATGAGGCTTTATGCTCGCATATAAACTAATATGGGATTCATTTAAACACTAAAAACAAGTCTGATGATTATATTTTTTGGAGAGGGGGTGTAGACTATTTCATGGAATCAAGTCTCCTTTAGCAGTTCAATACATCATATCAGACAGGGAAGAGCTGCCATGTCTAGGCACTGGGATACACTGAGCCATTAGGAAAACAGCCCTGGGAAGTGGGTGCTGAGCAGCATGGCCCTGAAAGGTTGCGGGGGGGAGCCCCTCTGCTTCTAACAGTCTATTTTTGTAATAGCTCAGCCCATCTGGGGTAACTTTTATCTCCTCTGCCCCTCCCTACTCCAGGGTTTTTCATCTCTGCCCATGTCTGACAGCACCTGTATCCCATTGCTAATCTGGTTGCTACCCCATCCCTGATTTTGCCTCTCGGCCCCTCTCTTCCCTCTGCCTCCAGCTGTTTGTCCCTCCTGTGCAGTTTCACCCTGCAGAGACTCTGACCATCCCACCCCTGATTTGCCCCCCTCTGCACCCTTTTAACTCCATGAACTCCATTAACTTAAGCTGATGTTACTCAGCATCCTCAATTCACCAGAACCTCCTCAGTAACAGCCAAGCAGCAAATTCAGTCAGGCCTCAGCTTGTAACATTACACAGAGAATTCAACAACAGCTCGGAAATGTTGCACTGGACAATGCTTCCCTACCACAGTACTCTGGGCAGCCTCCTCTGCAGAACTGTAGTGTGAGCAACAGCACAGGTGTCAGCCAACAGAGCTGAAAACATTGGCGTTTGAGTGGAGGTTTGTAAATGGAGTTTGGGAGAGAGTGTGGGGGATGTTCAGTGTTTAATTTTATTCAATTACTGCTTGAGTGTCAATCCTTTGTGTGGAGGGCTGTATACATATCCTCCCATGAGTTAACAGAACTAATTTGTTCTGAGGAGTTGGCTGAGGGTTAGAGGTTCACTCCCTGATAAAACGCAGGCAATTCCTCTAGGGCAGGCCACCCATTGAGACGGGCCAAATTCACAACTGATTTGCAGTTATAGGGAGGCCATTATTAGGGCGCCTTGGGTCCAAATTTTGGGGTAACAGGATCCCTAGGCCTTTAGGCATCCCACAAAGGACCCTGTGGAAATCAGTCCTCTCAGTGGTGCTTTCTGAATGCAGAGAGGGCAGGGAAAAGGGACAGAGGGATGAGTGATAAGAGGCAGCACCTCTCTTCCCTTTACTCTCCTCTCTTATCCCATGATCCCTAACATTTGATTTCCCCGGCATCCTCTGCATCCCACATCCACCAGACCCAACCACACAATCCCCCAGTTTCCTCCCCAAAATCCATCCCTCCTGGTACCTTCACATTTGATTCCCCAGATCCCAGCACCTTAGGGGATTTAGGGAGGGGAAGAGTTGCCAACCCCCAGGGACACTCACCCTGCAGGGACCAGCTCCAGATAAGTGGGGAAATCCAGCCCAGGGACTGCTGGAAAATGGGGAGTGGGGACAGGTGTCCAGAGAGAATGTGGGGCCTGGCCCAAATACCCCTCCTCTCATCTCCATGGAAGGAGCATCACATCTGGGAAGTGAAGAGACATGGGGGAACTTCATCCAGGCAGAGGGATCTTCTGGAGGAGTTTCTCTCTCCCTTCCCCCAGCAGGTTACCAGGAGGCATGAAGGCCCATCAGTTCAGTAGCCAGGGTTGCAGCAGGGAGCAGGGGCTGATTGGGACTTCTCCTCTGCCTGGGGTTTGCTTAGACAAGGCAAAGCCAGAGCGTCCCTGATCAGCTCAGGGTCAGCTGCTGCTGGAACCTGCCCCCAGAGATGTGCAGCTGGATACCTGGGAATCAAATGCCACTGAGGTGTGTGGGAATTGGGAAATGGAGTTTTTACTAAGGCCAGCCCTAGTCAGGGCAGTGAGAGAATTTCTCTCCTATGTGGAGAAGTCTCTGATGTGAGCACCAAATGAAGCTTCCATCACATTCAAGGTCTTTCTTATGTGAATTACTGAATGTGGAATAGTGTGTGAGCTCAGACTGAATTTTTTCCTGCAGTTAGTGAAGCTTTTCCCATCATCCAAGCACTTACGGGGTTTCTCTCTTGTGTGTATTATCTGATATGAAGCAAGGTTTGATCTTTGAATGACACTTACCCCACAGTGGAGGGACTTATATGATTTCTCTCCTGATGTTTTGAGCTCTCACTGAAGCTTTTCCCACACTCAAGGTATTTTTACAGTCTCTCTCCTGTGTGCAGTCTCCGATGGGTAATAAGATTTGAGCGCCGATTGAAGCTTTTCCCACAGTCCAAGCATTTATAGGGTCTCTCTCCTGTGTGAGTTCTCAAATGGTTAATAAGGACTGAGCGCTGACTGAAGCTTTTCCCACAGTCCAAGCATTTATAGGGTCTCTCTCCTGTATGGATTCTCCCATGGCTAATAAGGCCTGAGCGTTGACTGAAGCTTTTTCCACAGTCTAAGCATTTATAGGGTCTCTCTCCTGTGTGCAGTCTCCGATGAGTAATAAGATTTGAGCTCCGTTTGAAGCTTTTTCCACAGTCCAAGCATTTATAGGGTCTCTCCTCTGTGTGGATTCTTCCATGGCTAATAAGGCCTGAGTGCTGACTGAAGCTCTTCCCACACTCAAGGCATTTATAGGGTTTCTCTCCCGTGTGGGTTCTCTGGTGTATAAGAAGGGCTGAGGGTACACTGAAACTTTTCCCACACTCGAGACATTTATATGGTCCGTCTCTTGTGTGGATTCTCCCATGGTTAATAAGGACTGAGCGCTGACTGAAGCTTTTCCCACAGTCCAAGCATTTATATGGTCCCTCTCCTGTGTGCATTCTCCCATGGCTAATGAGATGTGAGCGCCGACTGAAGCTTTTCCCACAGACCAAGCATTTATAGGGTTTCTCTCCCGTGTGGGTTCTCTGATGTATGAGAAGGGCTGAGGGTACACTGAAACTTTTCCCACACTCAAGACATTTATATGGTCCCTCTCCCGTATGGATTCTCCTATGAGTAATAAGGACTGAGCGCTGACTGAAGCTTTTCCCACAGTCCAAGCATTTATAGGGTTTCTCTCCCGTGTGGGTCCTCTGATGTATAATAAGGACTGATGGTGCACTGAAACTTTTTCCACACTCAAGGCATTTATATGGTCCCTCTCCCGTGTGGATTATCTCATGGCTAATAAGGCGTGAGCGCTGACTGAAGCTTTTCCCACAGTCCAAGCATTTATAGGGTTTCTCTCCCGTGTGGGTCCTCTGATGTATAATAAGGGAAGATGGTACACCAAAACTTTTCCCACACTCAAGGCATTTATATGGTCTCTCCCCCGTGTGGTTTCTTCCATGGCTAATAAGGCCTGAGAGCTGACTGAAACTTTTCCCACACTCAAGGCATTTATACGGTCTCTCTCCTGTGTGCACTCTCCGATGGGTAGTAAGATTTGAGCTCCGATCAAAGCTTTTCCCACAGTCCAAGCATTTATAGGGTCTCTCTCCAGTGTGGATTTTACTATGGTTAATAAGGCCTGAGTGCTGACTAAAGCTTTTCCCACAGTCCAAGCATTTATAGGGTCTCTCTCCTGTGTGGATTCTCCTGTGGTTAATAAGGCCTGAGCGCTGACTGAAGCTTTTCCCACAGTCCAAGCATTTATATGGTCTCTCTCCCGTGTGGATTCTCCCATGGTTAATAAGGCCAGAGCGCCGACTGAAACTTTTCCCACATTCCAAGCATTTATAGGGTTTCTTTTCCTTGTGATTTGTCTGCTGGGCTGTGATTTCCTTGGGATCCTTGCCTGCACCCCCACATTCAATTGATTCATCCACTTTCTTCCTTTGGCAGTTTCCCAGCTTCCTCTCTGACCTGCGCCAATTACTGCAGGCTCTTCTCTGTTCCAAGCACTGGGAAAAGTTCTCTTCAGCTCTTCTCAAAAATGTCCCCTGCAGTTCCACTTGCTCAGGACATTTCTGCTGTGGATTCCCCTCCTCGTTCTCTCTCTTTGTCTCGTCACCTGCTGGGGGAGAGAGAGAACCCAGGCAGGAGTCATTGCTTGGACTGGTAGAAAGGACAGAAAGGGGAACAGCAAAAAGGGAAAACACAACACAGTAACTGTTGGGGAGACTGAGAAATTGGATTTTGCCTCCACATCCCATCCAAACACTCACAAGGAAGTGAAGTTGGGGAGAAAACTCCGACAGCTAACAGGGTGGGTGGGAAGCCATGAGTGATATCTACCATGATGACATGACACCTGCTGACCAGAGACTGACCTGGGTGAGATGAGGCAGAACTGAGGGCCCTCAGGCCACATTTTGGGGATTTTCAGCTTTTTCATTTGCCAGATACTTTCTGTGTCCCTGTCACTGACTCCTCACCTGTGTGGGTACCTCTTGGGAGCTTCCTTTCCTCCGAGGCCTGGAAATCCAGGACCCACGGCTCTTCCCCTGCTTCCAGCCGGGCGATCAGGTCAGGTTTGGGACTGGGAAATCCTGCTCAGGGGGTGAAATCAGCCATGATCAGAGTGCACTGAGGATCGGTGGAGTATTTGTCACAAAGGCACATCTTGAGTTTAACCTGACCCCATAATTTCCTAGGGGGTAGTGGGATCTGAACTGATGGGACCATAGTCATTGAGCCCCCTTTGGAGAGCCCAATATCTGAAGGGGTGGGGGAGTTGTCACACCCTCACTAGGAGTTCTCAGGATCTGTGGGTTCTGGGGGACTTGCTGAGGCACACACACAGCTCTGGTGTTAAACCCCTGCTATGTCTAAACCTCCAGAACTCAGAGCCCTCCGCACAGATGGAGCTAGTCCCAGAAGGGAGGTGCACAGAGATTCTGTTTGAGTGAGAATTAATGCAGAGAGGACAGTGGTTCTCAAATTGTGGGTCAGGATCCCAAAGTGGGTCGCAACCCCATTTTAATGGGGTCTCCAGGGCTGGCGTTAGACTTGCTAGGGCCTGGGGCTGAAGCCAAAGCCTGAGTCCCCCCAGTCCGGGGATGAGGCCAAAACACGAGCTCCCGCCTCATCTGTGCTGAAGCCTGAGCCTCGGGCTGAAGGTGGGCTTCGTTTCCCCTTCCCAGGGTCGTATAGTAATGTTTGTTGTCAGAAGGGCCACGGTGCAGTGAAGTTTGAGAACTGCTGAGATAGGATAATACACTGCTTCTGCACCTGTGAGAGCTGGAGGGATGGGTGTGAATTAGCATGTCCATTAAGTTCATGACTCCCCTATCCTGTTAGAGAGGGTATGGAGGTCAATGGCTCTCTTACACTGGAGCTGTGGACTATGTGACCCATTCCCCTCTAATCTAGCTGACCTGAGAAGACCCAGATGAGATTCAGAAATGCAGACCCCATGGCTTCAAACAACAAACACGAATCCTTACCCAGTGAGGTCACAGTCTCATAATTCTCCTGCATGACATCCCTGTAGAGGGCTCTCTGACTGGGGTCCAACAGAGCCCCCTGCCCTTTGGTGAAATACACAGCCACCTCCTCAAAAGTCACCAGCATCTGAAATAAAAGGAGCTTACCACTTAGGGCCTGCTGCCTCAGCCACAATCCCACTATTCATAGGGGGTAAGCATAAAAATAGGACAGCTCTGGGAGGGGCAGAGGAGCAGAATCCCACCCCACTCTGCTCAAAGTGGCCAGGAAGCCTCAGGGAACAGAGAGAAGATGAGAGTTCTTTGTCTCTCCCAGCAGATGGAAGAAGGCAGGGCGATGGTGTGGATTGCACCCTCAGCAAGTTTGCAGATGACACTAAACTGGGAGGAGTGATAGATACGCTGGAGGGTAGGGATAGGATACAGAGGGACCTAGACAAATTGGAGGATTGGGCCAAAAGAAATCTGATGAGGTTCAACAAGGACAAGTGCAGAGTCCTGCACTTAGGACGGAAGAATCCAATGCACCGCTACAGACTAGGGACTGAATGGCTAGGCAGCAGTTCTGCAGAGAAGGACCTAGGGGTGACAGTGGACGAGAAGCTGGATATGAATCAGTGTGCCCTTGTTGCCAAGAAGGCCAGTGGCATTTTGAGGTGTATAAGTAGGGGCATTGCCAGCAGATCGAGGGACGTGATCGTTCCCCTCTATTCGACATTGGTGAGGCCTCATCTGGAGTACTGTGTCCAGTTTTGGGCCCCACACTACAAGAAGGATGTGGAGAAATTGAAGAGAGTCCAGCGAAGGACAACAAAAATGATTAGGGGACTGGAACACATGAGTTATGAGGAGAGCCTGAGGGAACTGGGATTGTTTAGTCTATGGAAGAGAAGAATGAGGGGGGATTTGATAGCTGCTTTTAACTATCTGAAAGGTGGATCCAAAGAGGATGGATTTAGACTATTCTCAGTGATAGCAGATGACAGGACAAGGAGTAATGGTCTCAAGTTGCAGTGGGGGAGGTTTAGGTTGGATATTAGGAAAAACTTTTTCACTAGGAGGGTGGTGAAACACCGGAATGCGTTACCTAGGGAGGTGGTGAAATCCCCTTCCTTAGAAGTTTTTAAGGTCAGGCTTGACAAAGCCCTGGCTGGGATGATTTAGTTGGGATTGGTCCTGCTCTGGGCAGGGGGTTGGACTAGATGGCCTCCAGAGGTCCTTTCCAACTCTGTTATTCTATGATTCTATGACTCTATGAAAGGGTTAAGAAGCTAAAGGTAACCTCACTGGCACCTGACCAAAATGACCAATGAGGAGACAAGATACTTTCAAAAGCTGGGAGGAGGGAGAAAAACAAAGGGTCTGTGTCTGTCTGTGTGATGCTTTTGCTGGGGACAGAACAGGAATGGTCTTCGAACTTAGTAAGTAATCTAGCTAGGTATGTGTTAGATTATGATTTCTTTAAATGGCTGAGAAAATAGCTGCGCTGAATAGAATGAATATTCCTGTCTGTGTGTCTTTTTTGTAACTTAAGGTTTTGCCTAGAGGGATTCTCTATGTTTTGAATCTAATTACCCTGTAAGGTATCTACCATCCTGATTTTACAGAGAGGATTCCTTTTTACTTCTATTAAAAGTCTTCTTGTAAGAAAACTGAATGCTTTTTCATTGTTCTAAGATCCAAGGGTTTGGGTCTGTGGTAACCGATGCAAATTGGTGAGGATTTTTACCAAACCTTCCCCAGGAAGTGGGGTGCAAGGGTTGGGATGATTTTGGGGGGAAAGACATGTCTAAACTACGTTTTTTCAGGAACCCAGATAAAGTTTGGTGGTGGCAGTGGAAGTCCAGGGGCAAAAGGGTAAAATAGTTTGTACCTTGGGGAAGTTTTAACCTAAGCTGGTAAAAGTAAGCTTAGGAGGTTTTCATGCAGGTCCCCACATCTGAACCCTAGAGTTCAGAGTGAGGAAGGAACCCTGACAGGGTGAGGATGGGCCATTTGTATAGAGTCACTTTCCTGCCTGTCCCCAGCACTTTCCCCCATGTCTCTCTCCTCACCTGGAGTCTCCAGCAGAGCCCGGGTCTGCCTTAGGGGCTGGTTCCAGACACATGAGAAAGTCCCCCATTGTAGTCTGCAACCTATCATTTAAATCAGCTTCTGTACCAAATGACTGGATGATAGCTAATGTGACACCAATTTTTAAAAAGGGCTCCAGAGGTGATCCCAGCAATTATAAGCCGGTAAGCTTGACTTCAGTATTGGGCAAACTGGTTGAAACTATAGTTAAGAACAAAACTGTCAGACACATAGATGTACATAATTTGTTGGGGAAGCGTCAACATGGTTTTTGTAAAAGGAAATCATGCCTCACCAATCCTACTAGAATTCTTTCAAGGGATCAACAAGCATGTGGACAAGGGGGATCCAGTGGATATAGTGTATGAAGATTTGCAGAAAGCCTTTGACAAGGGTCCCTCACCAAAGGGTCTTAAGCAAAGTAAGCTGTCATGGGATAAGAGGGAAGGTCCTCTCATGGATTGGTAACTGGTTAAAAGATAGGAAACAAAGGGTAGGAATAAACAGTCAGTTTTCAGAATGGAGAGAGGTAAATAGTGTCTGTACTGGGACCAGTCCTATTCAACATATTCATACATGATCTGGAAAAAGGGGTAAACAGTGAGATGGCAAAATTTGCAGATGATAAAAAACTACTCAAGATAATTAAGTCCCAGGCAGAATGCAAAGAGCAACAAAAGGATCTCTCAAAACTGGGTGACTGGGCAACAAAATGGCAGATACATTTATCAACATTGAATTCCAAAGTAATGCACACTGGAAAACATAATCCCAACTATACATATAAAATTAGCTGTTACCACTCAAGAAAGAGATCTTGGAGTCATTGCGGATAGTTCTCTGAAAACATCCACTCAATGTGCAGCGGGAGTCAAAAAAACTTGTTAGGAATCATTAAGAAAGAAAATAAGACTGAAAATATCATACTGCCTGTATATAAATCCATGATATGCCCACATCTTGAATACTGCATGAAGATGTGTTCACTGCATCTCAAAAAAAGATATATTGGAATTGGAAAAGGTTCCGAAAATTAATGGCATCATAGAAGATTAGGGTTGGAAGAGACCTCAGGAGGTCACCTAGTCCACCCCTGCTCAAAAGGTTGGAGGATAGGTCCATCAATGGGTATTAGCCAGGATGGGCAGGGATGGTGTCCCTAGCCTTTGTTTGCCAGAAGCTGGGAATGGGTGACAGGGGATGGATCACTTGATGATTACCTATTCTGTGCATTCCCTCTGGGACACCTGGCATTGGCCACTGTTGGAAGACAGGATACTGGGCTAGATGGACCTTTGGTCTGACCCAGTGTGGCCATTCTTATGTTCATAACTTTGATTTACTGACTGAACTGAAAAAAAAGGGGGAGGAGGATGGTTAAAATAAATATTCCTCATTTTTTTAAGCTCAATATAAAAAAATTATTCAGTGATCTTATTTTAATTTTAAGACAATAAACTAGCTAGCCAATGGGCTGGTGATGGCTCCCTGAATAGCCTGCCCCAGGATAGTGAGAAAAAAATGAGAATAGAAGGGGGCCATCCCACAAGCACAGGGAGGGAGAGGAGAAGCTTGGGAGCTGCCTGCACACCATGGGAGGCCGAAGGGGGGCCCAGAGGTAGAGGAACCATCTCTGAGATGCTCCCCTGGGGAGAGAAGAGGTGGGATTCTCCCTGGGCCCTGAAGTTCATAACTCTTCAAGTCCAGGGGCAAAAGTAATGGCTCCCCAACATTCTCCTCTTAGACAGGCTTCCTCCCACCCTTCCCAACCCCTGGGGCAGGTCCTCCCTCCAGCTGCCCCACTTGAGGCAGGGTTCATGCTCTAAACCCCCTTCCCCACTGAAGCCAGCTGCACGGCCCACTCCCAACTCCCCCAAGGCACTGTTTGATATCTTCCTCCTCCTACCCCTACCCCCCCCCCCCGATAGATATATTTCTTTCTTACATATATCTTGATGCTAGATATCAATCCCCTCTCTCAGCAGAGGACAAAGGCAAGGCAAAATTTCATTACACCAAAACATGGAAGAAGATGGAACTACTTCAGTCAGAAGTAAGAAATAATGATGTCACAGAATCAATATCAGACATGTCTGAAATTGAAAGATGAATTAGAACTTCTTCTGAAAGTTTGTGAAATCTCCAAAAAGGAAGGGATATCTGGATGGAGGAAAGCCCAAAAAAGGATTGGGACAATTCTTGATTGATTTGTAGATGAGCCACAACTCAATAAGAAAGAAAACAGAGCAAACTATTGGGAACATCAGAAAAATGTCATGCCCAAGCTAAATCAACTAGCAAAAATTGTACAGGCAGTTCCAGCAACACAAGTGAATGTTGAAAGAAAATTTCCAGGTCTCAAATGTATCCTTTCACTGCAGAGGTCCAATATTACAAGGCAAAGATGTTATTTTAGGTTGCTCAAACAAATTGTGAATAAAAAAATTGTGTTCTTTTGACAACACAAAAACACTAGGAAAACTCATGTAAAGTTAAAGTTAAAAAATAAATAAAGAGCCAAAATTAAAACAGTTTCCATTTTAAGTTGCAGCTCTCTTTTTTGAATTAACCTCCACAAAGATTGAAATATGATTTAAAACAGTAACTGAAGTTTTATTTTTGTTTTTTTGGGTGGCTTGAACCAGAAATGAAACTGAACATAGTGAATGGAACTGAACCTGAACCAAACCAAAATAAATACAGTTGGACTCCTTGCCTGCTGTTGCTAACAGTAACTCTTGTTTGACCCAGAATCCTGCACAGAAATCAGTGCAAGGACTCTGTTCAATCCTGTCAGGTCCAAACATTTAACATTCAGGAGTCAGACCCCCAAATAGTGACATTGTCTTAAAAAATTAAAGACTAAATTGGGGGCAGGGTGGAGGGGGGGTATTTGCCTTGTAAATTCTGAGCTCTTAGGGGGAAATCCCCTGTCCATCTACTTACTCTCCTGCTTGTTTGATCATATCTAGAGAAAAAGATTCCGCACTGGCTGCTGGGCGAGACAGCCCCCTCCCCCACCCCATGGGCTTGGGGAGCTGCCATTGTATCTTTCACCATCCCTCTCCCTTCCCCAGCCAGTCTCTGCTTTCTCTCATGCCTCCCCACATCCCGCATTTCCTTCCCTTTATCCCCCCACTCAGTTTCCCTCTATTACAGCTCTGTTCCCCTGAGCCCCAGAATCCTCCCCCTACCCCTCAATTCCTGTGGATTCCCTCAGCGTCCCCACATCCTGATGGCCCCATCCCGCCCCCTCACACATCCCTGCCCCCGCAATGCCCTCTGGCTCTCAGAACCCCCTTCCCCTCTTCAGCCCCCTTCCGGCTCCCATCCCGCTCTGGCTCCCCACCTGTCGCTGTCCCACCCCCATCCCTCACACTCACTGCAAACCACGGGAGCTGGCAGCCAGCTTTCCTCTGCCCAATGCAGGGAATCGCAGGCAGCCCAGCTGGGAGCAGCCTGGGACATCCCCCAGCAGACAGGCTGCAACCAGGAGCGTCTCTCCCTGGGGAGGGGGGCAGGTCTCACCTTCTCTCCACGTGGGGCACTGCCTGGGAGCAGGACTCTGGGTCCCAGTAAGGGGGTGGGGGGCGGGGACAGGCCAAGGTCTCTGCTCTGGGAGTCTCTCGAGGAGCAGCGGGAATATTCCTCCCTCGATAGGAAACCTCCCCCGCCTGCAGCCAGGGCTCTGGGGTCCCCAGCGGCAGCAGCCGAGGTCCTGGGGTCTTGCAAGGAACCTGGTTTGCAGCGCAACAAAGAATCACTGCAGCGACTGCAGTTCACTTCCCGATGCCAGGCTGAGTGACCCCGGAGATCGCTCCGCCCTGCGCCTCCTGGGTCCTAGCGCGACGGAGCGCATTGGTGTCTTTTCTCCACAGCATGTTCACTGTCTGCAAGCCCTGGACTGAGCTGCAAGGTCTTGTCCCCTAGTTCGGATTATGGAGTTGTCAGTGCTATGTCCTCTGGTTATTTGTAGGGTCTAATTAACCCATCACTGGGCTGTAGGAAAAAACCCTCCAGTTCTCCTCCTTTCCCCCCACATGGCAACCTGCTGCTCCTCACCCTGCCAGTGTAACATTGCCTGCAGGGTTTGTTACTATCTGGTAGCAGTTAGTAACATCCTTGTATTCTCCCTTTTGCTGCCCTGTCACAATTTGCTGCTTCTGCCTTTCCCCATCCTACAGTCCCAGGGCACTAAGTTGTGATGGATGGAGGCATTCCCACCACAGTTTGGTACCTCTCACTTTTTCCTCACTTTCTGGTCCAGGGGTAACAAACTGTAATGGATGGGGTTCATCCGTCATAGTTTTCCCACCTGTGTGGCTTTCTCCATCCTTTGGTCCAGGGCTGGTAAATTCTGATGGATGGGGACATTCCCAACACAATTTTCTACCTCTCACCTTTCCCTTTCCTCTACCTTTCCCTATCTCCTCATCCACGGGTAGAAATTTTTCATGGATACGGGATATGCCTGTCACAATTTGCTACCTCTATCTTGAACTGGCTGTCCTGTCCACTTTCCTTCATGGACCCATCTCTTTCTCCTGCCATATGTCTTTCCCCTGAGGCCCTGCCCTGTGTCCAGGCCAGAAGCTGGAGCCCTGCCTGGGTAAGAGAGGCCCAGGGAGCCTAGGCAGCTTTGGGGAGCCACAGACCATTCACCTTCCAGGGGTGGGGGGGCCCAAGAGCAGCCCCTGGCCAATGTCCCTGCCCCCTGGGCCTCCTGCCCAGGGCAGATGAAGGGTCCATGGCTCCCAACAGCTGCCCAGGTGGCTCTTACCATTGTCTTGGTGGGGTAAGAGCCGCATGGGCAGTTGTGGGGAGCTGCAGACCCTGCACCTGCCCTGGATGGGGGCTGGGGACATGGGCTGTGGGCTGCTCTTGGGCCCCCCACCTGGCAGGTGGAAGGGCCCAGGCTGCCTGGCCCGACTCCAGCTTCCAGCTTCATGAGGGGGAAGGGTCTCAGAGGGGCAGGTGAGGGGCCACAGAAGGAGCAGGGCCTCCTGGTCTCACCACTTAAGGAAGAATCCCTTACCCCTGCTTGTGGTCCAGACCTTTCTTTATCCTCTGATCAGATGTAGCTAGTTGTGATGAATTGGGATATGCCTATCATAGTTCGGTTCTTTCATCCTTCTCCATTCGTGGTGCAGGGATAACAAATTGTGATGGATAGGGGTACACCTGTCACTGTTTTCCTACCTCTGCCTTTCCTCATCTTCAGGCAAGGGTAGCAAATTATGATGGATCGGGGCAGACTCATCACAATTTGCTGCCCTCACCTTTCCCCGTCCTCTGGTCCAGGGGTAACAAATTGTGATGAATGGGGGTGCACTTGTCACAATTTGCTGCTTGCCACCCTCTTTCCCCATCCTTTGGTCCAGATGTAGCAAATTATGACACACAAGAATTCATCTCTGTCACAAATTGCTACCATGGTGTAATCTCTATTTTACATTTGGACACAAAAGAAAGGTACTTTTATTATTTGGAAAAGCATTCTCCAGAGTTAAACTGCACGGTTATGGTATGTAACCTCCTAAATGAAGGTGTTATTTCTTTATTAGTCTCTTTCCATTGTAGATTAGGCTGTCAGGAGTAGCTCAGGAACATGAGTACTGACCTGAGGACTGACTGTCACAAACGAGGACACACACCACAAACTGGTTGTGTGTTCTACAATTAGATTTCACCAACCAAGTATCAAGTGTGAACTCCTCAAGCACTGTAACAGTTTTACCATGGAGTTATAGACAATCTCCTAAGGAACTGGTTTCAGAGTGGTAGCCGTGTTAGTATGTATCAGCAAAAAGAACGAGGAATACTTGTGGCACCTTAGAGACTAACAAATTTATTTGAGCATAAGCTTTTATGGGCTAAAGCCCACTTCATCAGATGCATGCAGTGGAAAATACAGTAGGAAGATATATAAGTCTTGCCACCCACGCAAGCCTACCTTTTTGATAGATAGTCCAAATCACAACAATATTCTGGTTTCTCCCAATCCCAAAGGACCAGTCACTTACCCCAGATCAATTGCACACCAGATCTCAAACCAAAGACAAGGCTTGTAACCAATCCTATAATAAATTAACCAACGATTTATTGGCTAAGAGAAAGAAATGAGAGTTATTTAAAAGATTAAAGCAGGCAAATGTACACACACGAATGTGGGGGAGGGATAGCTCAGTGGTTTGAGCATTGGCCTGCTAAACCCAGGGTTGTGAGTTCAATCCTTGAGGGGGCCAATTAGGGATCTGGGGCAAAAATTGGGGATTGGTCCTGCTTTGAGCAGGGGGTTGGACTAGATGACCTCCTCAGGTCCCTTCCAACCCTGATACTCTATGACTCTATGAATGAGTTACAATCATAACTTTCAAAAGGTAATGCTACTATGATAAGCAAGCTCTGTGTGTCCTTTAGAACTGCAGCTCTCTCACTTTGTGCCTAAAACATCTTCCCTCCCTCCACCTCCAAGCAGCATAGAGATAAAGTTCCTTGTGGCCAGGCATTGTTCTTCCCTTCACCCAGAGTTCAAACTGATTGCTTATGCCATCAACTGAGTCTTTTGTCCACAATGTTCCACAATAGCTTGTCTGATGTCTGAAGACCTTCTTGTGTTGGGCAGATGACACCTCCTGTGATACACTAGTATTTCACACTTGGCAATGCTTCTCTCCTGACTGTGAGGTTTTCCCGGTTTCACAACAAACACTTTTATAGTTACCAAGCAGATACTTAAATGTTACCCTATAAGATAGGATGCAGGTGTTATAAGTGAGATTAATGCAGGCAGCAACTGACAAGCATTTCATAAAGTCCAAATACTGAACACATCTCTATAAATCTAATGCCTATTTTAACAACACTAACAGGTGAGCCAGACTGGTTTCCAACAATGCATTTGTCAGTGTTCAGTGAGGCCTAGAGGCCTTGGCATGAGCTGACACCTGGTCTGCCAGCGTTACACAGGCCACATAGTTTCTGTAGTACATAAACATTTAATGGACACAGGACACTGACAGAAATGTGAAGCAGTGTAAACAGCACTAGAAATACTTATGAATACCTTTTAAACACAAGCTATTAGATGGAAAATCTCCCATTGTTCCTTATTCAGACTTTGCCCTATTGTCACTGTGACACATATTAAACACGTTTTCAGCACAAAGTTTCTGTACTTTGGCACACACATCAAAGCCCATTGCCCTCTGGTCTTACTTTAGAAACATTTTCTCCGGGCTTTTCCTCACTGTTAAAACTGAAGTGCCTTGTCCTCACTGGGCTCTTACCTCAGAATAGCTCCTGCACCTTAGTTACTCCAAGGTTAAAAAAAATACCTTTTTCAGCAGTGAGGAAAAGGCCTAGTGGCTACATTCATCAAGGCATTTAGATGCTGTGACTCCGATTGTCACAAAGCCTAACTTTTAAGTACCTAGAAAGTAACACGATTGACTCTGTGATCCACAAAGCCTGAGTTAGGCACTTAGACACCTTGTACAATGAATGGGAAGAGATACGCACTTTAGAGTGTGATCCACAAAAGCTGGCATGCTAGGCAGGGAGATGCCTAAGCTAGCCAATGGGAGATGCCAACAGAGCATGTGTCCTAAGCAACACATGGCTCAGAGTTTGGTACAGAATTCCCAACTACAAGTAGATGCGAGTTCTGCCCTGCAATCTACGAATAGGAACCCATCTCCTGGAGTCAGGTGGCTCAGGCACTTCCGGAGCCTAATTCCACACAAAATGGTCAGAGGAAAATGGTGCGCATCTTAGAACATAGGCACCGACTTCTGCTCACATTGGAGGGTGCTTGACCCCCCCCCGCCCCCAGCTCAGCCCCGACTCCATCCTTGCCCCACTCCCTCCCACCCCTGCCCCGCCCCATTCCAACTCCTTCCCCAAATCCCCACCCCGACTCCACCCCTGCCCCACCCCCATTCCAACTCCTTCCCCAAATCCCCGCCCCTGACTCCACCCCTGCCCTGACCCTTCCCTCTCCCTCCCCCATTCCAACCCCTTCCCCAAAGTCCCTGCCCCAACTCCGCCCCCTCCCTACCCCTATTCTAACTCCCGCCCCCGCCTCTTCCCCGCCTCCTCCCCTGAGTGCACCACATTCCCACTACTCCCCCTCCTTCCCGGAGCTTGCTACACCACCAAATAGATGTTTGGAGGCGACAAGTGCTGGGAGGTAGGCAAAGGAGCGGGGATGCGGCACGCTTAGGGGAGGAGGCAGAGGCAAAGGGGGGGGGGAGGGGAGTTTGGCTGCCTGCAAACACCAATTTTTCCCTGTGGGTGCTCCAGCCCTGGAGCACCCACGGAGTTGGTGTCTATGTCTTTGAACTTTTAGGCCACTGGTTAGCCCCTAGGATGTGGGAGATCCCTTTTCAAGGCCTTTCTCCTTCTCTGATGGGGTAACTGAGCCAAGGTCTCCCACTTCTGATGTGAGTGCACTGACCCCTACACTAGAAGTTACAAAGGGTGGGGTGACACCATGTCCTCCTCCTCTGACCAGATTTTCATTGTGAGCTGATCAAATAGGCAGGCTCTGAGCTTGGCTACAGGACTGGGCCACACAAGCAAGATCAGCATTTGCCCGCCCATTGTCCATAGTTTGTGCATCGTTCTGGGACTTAGGTAGGAGACAGGCATCCAGCAGCCTAGAGTAAAGCAGCAGGGAACATGCTCTGAAGCAAAAACTAAGGCCCCATCTACATTGGCAAGTTTCTGCACAGTAAAGCAGCTTTCTGTGCTGTAACTCCCAAGGTTCACACACTGCCAAGCCACTCAGTGCGCAGAAACTGCGCAGTTGTAGCGCTCTAAAGAAACACCCCGACGAGAGGCGTAGAGCTTTCTGGGCTGTGGCTACAGCACTGCAGTGCCAGTGTAGACATCATGGCAAATACAGCGCTGTGATTGGCTTCCCGGAGGTGTCCCACAATGCCTGTTCTCACCTCTCTGATCATCGGTTTGAACGCTACTGCCCCGTCCTCAGGTGGCCAACCGTCATCCCACCCTGTACATTCCTTTGCAAATTCGAAAGTCCCCTTCCTGTTTGCTTGGTGACGCATGCAGTGGTCTCAGTGCATCTTTCCAGGTGGCCATGCCGGCTCCACGCACCAGGCGATCCCCTGCTTGGAGCAATGCCGAGCTGCTGGACCTCATTGGCATTTGGGGAGAGGAGGCTGTCCAGTTCCAGCTGCACTCCAGCCATAGGAATTATGATCCCTATGGAAAGATTTCAAGTTGCATGATAGAAAGGAGCCATGACCAGGACACATTGCAGTGTAGGGTCAAAGTGAAGGAGCTGCAGAACACCTACCACAAGGCACGGAAGGTAAACCACCGCTCCGGTGCTGTGCCCACGAGCTGCCAGTTCTACAAAGAGTGGATGTGATACTTGGTGGTGACCCCACCTCCACTGCGAAGGCCCCTATGGATACTTCATTGGCTCATGTGCCAGTGGACAGTGGACCGAGCCAGGAGAAGGAAATCTTGGATGAAGAGAGGGAGGGGGACCCAGAGGCAGAGGATGGCTCAGAAGCCAGAGATGCATGCAGTCAGGAGCTCTTTTCTACCCCAGAGGAGCCTAGCCAGTCACAGCAGTCGGATCTTGGCAAAGCGGAAACAGGAGAGAAGGCCCCTGGTAAGTGGATCTGATTTGCGGAATTTCTGAAGCGATTTGTTGGGGGCAGGAGCGTTACAGAAAGCAGGCTTGTCTCCCACCACATGCCTATTCTGAGCGGTGCAACAGGCTGTTGATTGACTCCCTCACTTCATGGGAATCTCCCCCAGAGATCTCCAGGAAACTCTCGTGGAGATACAGGGCAATCTGCTGCTGCAGGCTCCTCAGCAGAGCTGGTTTGTTTCTTGCCCCATTAACGGTAACTTTCCCATGCCACTTTGCCGTGATGTTGTGTGGGGACCATTGCTGCACACAGGCGAGCCACACAGGGGCCAGGGCGGAAGCTGCAGGCTTCGAGAAGACCCTCCTTTTATTCCCTGCTCACCCTCAGCAGCGAGATATCTTCCATAATGATCACATCCTGTGGAAAGTGTGGGGACAGAAATGATTATGAAGCCCCCCTGTCCAGTGCTGGCTCTCCCCAAGAATCATGTGCCCAGTGTACAGCAGGGTCCAGGAAGAGTGATTCATCCTGGCCCTGTGGCTACTCACCATTTTGGGGGTCTTGTGGCTCATGTGTTGTAATAAATATAAAGGGAAGGCTAACCACCTTTAAATCCCTCCTAGCCAGAGGAAAAAACCCTTTCACCTGTAAAGCGTTAAGAAGCTAAAGATAACCTCGCTGGCACCTGACCAAATTGACCAATGAGGAGACAAGATACTTTCAAAGCTGGAGGGGTGGGGGGAACAAAGGGTTCTCTCTGTCTGTGTTTTTTTCTTTGCCGGGACCATTGCAGGAATACAGGTCAGAACTCCTGTAAAGGGCTAATAAGCAATCTAGTTAGATATGCGTTAGATTCTGTTTTGTTTAAATGGCTGATAAAATAAGTTGTGCTGAATGGAATGTATATTCCTATTTTTCTGTCTTTTTGTAACTTAAGGTTTTGCTTAGAGGGATTCTATGTTTTGAATCTGATTACCCTGTAAGGTATTTACCATCCTGATTTTACAGAGGTGATTCTTTTACTTTTTCTTCAATTAAAATTCTTCTTTTAAGAACCTGATTGCTTTTTCATTGTTCTTAAGATCCAAGGGTTTGGGTCTGTGTTCACCTATGCAAATTGGTGAGGATTTTTATCAAGCCTTCCCCAGGAAAGGGGGTGTAGGGTTTGGGAGGATTTTGGGGGGAAAGACGTTTCCAAGTGGGTTCTTTCCCTGTTTCCATTTGTTAGGTGCTTGGTAGTGGCAGCAATAAAGTCCAGGGGCAAAAGGTAAAATAGTTTGTACCTTGGGGAAATTTTAACCTAAGCTGGTAAAAATAAGCTTAGGGGGTTTTTCATGCAGGTCCCCACATCTGTACCCTAGATTTCAGAGTGGGGAAGGAACCTTGACATGGTGGCAAAGTGGTGGGATTAACTTGAAATCATTTTGAGATCAATTTGAGATTTTTTGAACCAGAAGCACAGATTTTAAAAAAGGACATTTTTTTTCTCCTTTGGGCTGCTGGAAAGCAGATTTTCGACTGAAAACAGTTAGAGGTGTTTTTGTCTCTGCTTGGGGGCCACAGCAGAGACAAAACGGAATGGTCTTTTGTGAGCTGGAGTTTTCTCTACCTAAAGGCAAGGTAGTTAACCTCCTGCAGGCAAATTCACAAGTCTTCACAGACCTGGAGTTGATTTTTTTTTTCACCTAAGAGCAACTAGAGGGGTTTTCTGTCTATTTGCCTGGAGAGAAAGGTGTTAGGGGTTTTTGGGGGGGGATTTTTCTGTAGGCTGACAATCACTATCAGAAAACATAGGTATCCGGTTACAGCACAACCTATATATATATATTTTTTTTTTTGACAAGCCAAGTTTTTTGTTTGTTTGTTTGTTTTATTTCTAACTCTCGGGTGTAAAGTTAGTTAAAACAGAGAGGCTAACATGACAGAATCTAAGGCACAACACAAATTGGAGTTAACCAGACTGGAGGCAGTGAAAGAAGCAGAATAAGCCCTAGAGGCTGCCCACAGGAGAGCTATGGAGGCAAGGGAAAAAGAACTGGAGGAAAAGGAAAAAGAGAGGAAGCATGCACTGGAGATGGAGAAGGTAAGGGCTGAGTGGAATCTACTGGATAAACCTAACAATCCTTCCCCAACAATCCACAAATGGGAGCGACTATGTCCACAGTATAATGAATCCAGTGATATTGCTGAATATTTTCTCACCTTTGAGAGACTGTGCACTCTCCATAAAATTCCTAAAGCTCACAAGATGACCACATTGGTCGCAAAATTGACTGAAAGAACTCTGGACATATTCAATAAGATGCCTATTGATGAAGCTTCTGATGATAATAAGTTCAAGGATTTGGTTTTAAAGCAATTTCAAATTACACCTGAAACGTACAGAGTAAAATTTCGAACCCTTAAGAGAGGGCCTGGATGAAGTAATGTGGCTTATCTAAACCAGATAAAGGATCTGTTAGATAAATTGGTCAAAGGAAGGGGTGTCACTAGCTTTGAAGGAATCTGTGATTTGATGGCTCAGGAGCAATTCCTGAATATGTCCAAGGAGGAAATAAAACAGTGTTTATGGGATAAGGAAACGGACTCAACAGGAAGTCTTGCTTCTTATGCTGATCGATACAAGCAGTCCCAGACCCTGCACTTATCCTTGTTGAACCTCATCAGATTTCTTTTGGCCCAATCCTCCAATTTATCTAGGTCCCTCTGTATCCTATCCCTGCCCTCCAGCGTATCTACCACTCCTCCCAGTTTAGTATCATCCGCAAATTTGCTGAGAGTGCAATCCACACTATCCTCCAGATCATTTATGAAGATATTGAACAAAACCGGCCCCAGGACCGACCCTTGGGGCACTCCACTTGATACCGGCTGCCAACTAGACATGGAGCCATTGATCACTACCCGTTGAGCCCGACAATCTAGCCAACTTTCTACCCACCTTGTAGTGCATCCATCCAGCCCATACTTCTTTAACTTGCTGACAAGAATACTGTGGGAGACCGTGTCAAAAGCTTTGCTAAAGTCAAGAAACAATACATCCACTGCTTTCCCTTCATCCACAGAACCAGTAATCTCATCATAGAAGGCGATTAGATTAGTCAGGCATGACCTTCCCTTGGTAAATCCATGCTGACTGTTCCTGATCACTTTCCTCTTGTGTAAGTGCTTCAGAATTGATTCCTTGAGGACCTGCTCCATGATTTTTCCGGGGACTGAGGTAAGGCTGACTGGCCTGTAGTTCCCAGGATCCTCCTTCTTCTCTTTTTTAAAGATGGGCACTACATTAGCCTTTTTCCAGTCATCCAGGACTTCCCCCGTTTGCCATGAGTTTTCAAAGATAATGGCCAATGGCTCTGCAATCACAGCCGCCAATTCCTTTAGCACTCTCGGATGCAACGCATCCGGCCCCATGGACTTGTGCATGTACAGTTTTTCTAAATAGTCCCGAACCACTTCTTTCTTCACAGAGGGCTGGCCACCTACTCCCCATGCTGTGATGCCCAGTGCAGTAGTCTGGGAGCTGACCTTGTTCATGAAGACAGAGGCAAAAAAAGCATTGAGTACATTAGCTTTTTCCACATCCTCTGTCACTAGGTTGCCTCCCTCATTTAGTAAGGGGACCACACTTTCCTTGGCTTTCTTCTTATTGCCAACATACCTGAAGAAACCCTTCCTGTTACTCTTAACATCCCTCGCTAGCTGCAACTCCAGGTGTGATTTAGCCTTCCTGATTCCATTCCTACATGCCCGAGCAATATTTATATACTCATCCCTGGTCATTTGTCCAATCTTCCATTTCTTGTAAGCCTCTTTTTTTAATCTTCCTGCAAAAGCCATTAGGATTTTGTCTGATCATTTGGTGGCCAGGGGGACTCTGGCAGAGTTTCATGGCTGGAAGAAGGCACTATTGTTGCTTCTCAAGCTCTCCTCTCCCACCAGAGGAATTAAGAGCCTGATCCAACATTGGGACAACAAAATCAGCTGCCTCAATTGTGCCCCAGCAATGACATCCTCTCCCTACTCAAACTTCTTCCTCTACTTCTGCAGCAAATTGTAGCTTATAGCTGGGGAAGAATATAGGTATGGGAAATAGTTACTCCCACGTTCCTCTGCCCTGTGTGTGATGATCTGGGAGCCTCCAGCCCATCTAAAGGGGTGTGACTTATCTGTAGATAGTCTTTGTGTGTGTCCTTTCTGTGTGTTGTCCCAGCTCTCTGCAGAGAGCTGACAGAGCCGACCTCAATCGCACTTCCTACAAAGACCACAAGACATGGTTTCTGGCGAAGGCACCCAGCCACAAACAGTCCTAGCTAGTTCCAGCAGACTTTTTAGATGGTAAACCAGGGATTTCTCATGGCTGGGACTTCCTTGTTCTGATCCATGCTCTTTTATAGCTTTGGCACAGAGCAGGAATCCTTTGTCTCTCTGGATCCCCACCCTTACTTCTAAATGGAAAAACCCCAGGTTTAAGATGGATTCCAGTATCGGGTGACGTAGTCACGTAAACAGGCTGGCTTGCAGGGAAACAGCCATTTACAGTCAATTTTCCTAGTCATATTTCTAGTTTCAGATACCAGAATGATACTTTAATTCAAATAGGATGAATATATTCAGTAGATTATTACCTTTGTAATGCTACCTTAAAAGAGAACTTATTGCATAAACCATATTCCAGTTAATTAATATTCACTTTCATAAAACATATAAAGCGCAACGTCACAAGTACACTTAATACATTTATGCCCATAACAATGGATGCAGCTCAGTGAATGGCGGGGAAAAGTCCCCCTTATATTCTCTCTGAGATCCCTATTTACACACGAATACAAACAAATTACGTAATGCCCTTCTGACATAGTGAGTTAACACCCTTTTACATATTGGGTCGATCGAAACACCGCTATCCATCACCCTGTTGTCCTGAGCTTATCTTTAGGAGGGGTAAGCGTGTGCCTGTATCATCTTCGGGAAGTACGTTTACACCTTAATGCTATATCCGGATGTACTGGCTCTACCCTTCTGGAATGTGTTTACATGACTACTTAGCGTATAGGAAGTTTTTACAATGCCAGTTCTATTCTTGCCAAGTTCATGTATCAGATAGTGAACCTGCACGCAAGCATCTGCTTCGTAACAGGGCAAGGTCTGACCTGCTCACAGCCCGACTATTGCTAGCTTTGCTTTTATATTAGCAGGGGTTCACCACTACTTTAGTTCATGAATAAGGCTTATACCAGGCCTTTTATAACAGGCCTAATATCTCAGGCTCCCTCTTTCTTCAATCCTGCTTTGCTCAACTGAAAGTGAACAAGGCTTTTGCCTCTCTGGGGGACTCTGATCCCTCTCCCTAAGGATGTGGGCGAATTTGCCTTAACACTGTATCCACTGCAGGTGAAGCTTGAGAGACAGCTGGTGGTGTGCCAGCACCTGGCCGTACATGAGGAGGAAGAAGAAAAGTGCCACCCACTTATGGAAGGAGATTTCCTACCTCACTGCCCTGATCTAGGAGATGGAGGAGCAGTGCCAGCAACCAGCACTGACCCCCCTCCCCCGACTTGCTAAGGCAACTCCCATCTTTTCATGTGTTATAACATTTATACTGCTTACTGTATTTTTCACTCCATGCATCTGATGAAGTGGGTTCTAGCCCACGAAAGCTTATGACCAAATAAATGTATTTGTCTCTAAGGTGCCACAAGGCCTCCTCGTTGTTTTAGCTTATCGACAGTAGATTTCAATGCACTTTAAACAGGAGGTCAGTATCATTACATCCATTTTACAGTTGGGACAACCAAGGCACACATAGGGCATGACTTGCCCAAATTCAGGACTCGACCCAAGGCTGCCCTGACTCCCTGTCTACTGCTCTATCCACTAGGCAACACGCCTTCTCTATAAGCTATTGTATTAGTATAGTTCCTTGGGTAAAACACCATGTAATCCTTCTGCACATGGAGTAGGCAGCAACCAGGGCCAGGTCCAATAACTAGGGTTTCCTTTTCAACTATACAACACAGAACAGGTTTGAGCCCCCACACAGTGACCTGGGAAAATTACACACTATCCCTGGGTGCCTATAAGAGCCAATACTTCCCCTATTGCAAACACAGAGTCTGAGTGTGGGAAAGAAACTTTTATTGAAGGGAGGGAAGTCACCCAGCATTAGTTAGGGAAAATGCCAGAAGCAGGACTCAATCGTGAGCAAAAGTCCCCCCTCCCGAGTATGCTGGGCAGTGTCTTTTGCCCCAGGTTCTTGAGTTCAACAACCAAAAGTTCCTGTACTGTGCCCCACCACACATCACCAACAGTGGTTCTCCTTGGTCAGTGACCGCCCCCCCCCCCGGGTTCAGAGGTGCATCTGTGTGAGTTCACCTCCCACCAGGGGTGGGGTGGGAAAAAGGCACTGTGCTTGCTCCACCATCAATGTGTAATGCACACACCTCCTGGGTGTGGTCATCTAGTGGCACAGAGATCACTTAGAGAGCGAGTTAAATGCGTCTACTCTACAGCCTTAATAAGTAACAGCCAGTTTGCTTTTAGCTCAGGCGATAGCAGCTCATGCACTAAGCTCCAGAGGTCCCCAGTCAATCCCTCCTACTGACGACCAGGGTCTGTCCTCTTTACACATGCACCACCTCTGGCATCACCACCCTGCCCGCTGCTCCGCTGGCCATCCCACCAGTTACCATTCCCCGGGCTGCACTCCTCAAAACTATCACCTTCTGCTGCCACCTGCTACTCTAATCTCTGCAGGTCAGTCTCTCGAGGAAGTGGGGAAACTGCCTCTCCCTCCTGAAGCAGGGTGGTCAGAAACACTGTCCCACAACAAGTGATTCCAGAGCTAGTGCTCACTTAACAACACAAAAGAAGCGAATGAAGCTTTAATTAACTCTATCTTTCAACAGGGGGAGAAGCAAGTTAAACCATGAGTAGGCCTCTCAGATAGGGCCCACACCTCCTGGCAGGAACAGGACCTCATCCCCTCTTCCTTTCACAGGGGTCTGACTAAGCGAGTTCAGTTCATATAAAGGTAATTCCCCCAGTCAGGAGAGGCGAAGTGGATCTCTGCCGCCCTTTACTTAAGGATAGCAGAAATTCACTACCCCTGCATTTAATACAAAGGTGATTTATAACCCAACTTTGGCTGGTTATAACCCAACACGAGCCAAAGATGATCACGTTGGCAACACCGAGGCAGAGTGAGTGTGTTCATGTAAATACAATCTGATGCTG